GCACCCCGCACCCCGCACCCGGGCGTTGTCGACAAGCCTCTCTGAGCTCTTGAGGTCAGGACGCCTCGTCCCGTCCCCGGCTAGCGGAGCAAGGAAAAGAAAAAAAGAAGAAGAAAGACAAATGTAAAATAAGAGGGAAGTGGAGGGACCGCAGCAGGGAGAGCGATAAGACTCGGGCAATTAGGTGCGCCCGCCGTGGAATACTGACTGACTGACGTCGCTCGGTGAGCCTGAAAAAAGAGCAACGGAAAAAACAAAAGGCGTGCGACTTTACAAATTTACGGAGGTGTGACGGAAATTTGTAATTGTAATGCCTTTGCGAAAAGATGTTGAAGAATCCCTGAAGAGGTGCCAGGAGTTAGGACAATTTGCCAGTTATTTTGATGTTTTTGTAAAAGGTAATACAATATGAAAGACTTTTTCAAAGTCGCACCCTTGTCTCTCCAGTGCGGGGTGGTCGGGGTCGGCCGTGCACAGCCCGTCCTCACTCTGCTGAGTATGGCACCGAGTTTTATGGCGAGGCCTGTACAGGCGGGCCAGGGGGGCACACAGCAGGGGCTGCTGCTGAAAGTGGCCTGGCGCGGCGGCGGCGGGCGGCAGCTCCAGGTACATAATATCTTCCGCCAGGGAAGCTTGCGGTGCGGGTGGGTGGCCCTGGTGGCCCCGGGCCGGGTGAGCCCCCTTGAGCCGGCCGGGCTCGGAATCTGACGATGACCCTTGCGACCCCCCGCCGCCGCCGCCGCGCCACCCCCTTGTTCTGCCATCCCCCCCACCCTATCCGTTGTGGCCAACAAAATACCTCAGGATATTGGCTACCGTTGGCGCGAGATGCAGGGGGGCCGGGGGCCGTCGTCAGGCAGGGGAAAGGGGGGGGGGGCACCATGACGCTTCGGAGCCCCAGGCGCAGGACTGCCTTGCAAGTCACCGGTGTTGGCACCGGGAGTATCGAGGCCCAGGCGAGGGCGTTGCCGCCGGGGCCCCTCTGCGCCGGCCGGGAGCTGAGGTGGCCGGGCGGGCGGAGGGCCTCCAGGATCAGCCCGGCCCCTGGGGGGTCCCGCCCCCCGCCGCCACCGCCCCCGCCCGGGGCGACTCATCTCACGTTATATCACGCCACCCCCACCCCGCCCCTGCCGGGGGAGGGATAGGGCTGGCCAGGAGGGCTGGTCGGAGGGCGGCTCGGCGCCTGTGTGTGGGTCGCTAACAGGTACCCGGATCACACACACACACGACGTCGGGCGGGAGAGTTCAACGCTTGGCCGAGTGGCGCCGGGGCCGCGGGGCCGCGGGCGGGAGAGCCGGTGCTGGGGGTCGTTGGCTCTCCCGCGGGCGCGTGCGGCGGCGCCGCCGCCGAGAGCTCTGCCGGACTCAAATCTTGATAAATTGTTCCACCCCTTCGTCTCCTCTGCTCTCTCTTCTCTCCCCGGGGACGCGCCTGTGCCTCTCTCGTGCAGGGGACGGCACCACTGCTCTCAACACCACCTGCTGTTCCTCACCCCCCCCCTTTTCCTCTCACTCACACGACGCAGGCGTGCCGACCCTACATCTGACGCCGCTGCGCGCACGAAGCTCTTAACTCTTCCATCTTGCTTCGACACGCTGAACAACGTGTTGTAGCGAAGCAGGGAGAGTCGTGGTCGTGGCGGTGTAGAGACGTGAGGGAGAGGGGAGGGGGGGGGGGAAAATCCTCATGCGGGTATGAGGAATGAGAAGCAGCAAGAGAGGATCTGGAGGAGCTTCGGGGAGGGGAGAAGGGAGGGAGGAGGCAGTGGCAGGGTGGTAGGGTCCCGAAAGGGCGCCGTGTGTGAGGCGGAGGTGAGAGGGGAGGCCGGGAAGTCTCCACACCACTCCGATGAATGTTATATGAGCAATCAAGTATTTAGCATCCTATTTTGGACGGGCCCGGCTAATTGCCTTTGAGTTATTTAGTGCCGGGAGCTCGTGAATGCGAATGTGGAGATGTCCCCGCTGCTCGGGGATTCCATGTACATGGCGGCGTGAACTACACCGAGGAGCAGGCGAGGTGGGGAGCGCTAGGGCGAGGGCGAGCGGGAATAACCTGCTGCGCCTGCATCCGCCCGAACTGCCGACTCTCACAACAATACAAGCGAATTCGATGTTAGAGAAACAACACTCATCCCGAACTAAAATGATCAGTAGTGTCTCTCTATTTTGGAAAAGAAATGTTTGCATATTCATGAAGGAAGGTGGAAGATGATAAAGTTTGCAAAAAAACAAAAACCTGTGCAGCAGCAACTGCTGCTCTGCTTCGCGGGGTGCCCGCGTTTTTGGAAGGGGGAAGAGAGAAAGAGGGGAAAGGGGGGGGGGTGCAGCTGGAAAAGCTCCCAAGACTTTGCAAGGGCGCCGTTGTGGCTGTCAGGGCCGCGCCGCCGCCAGCCCGCCAGCAGCATGCTCACCGCTCGTTCATTCTGCGCGCGCA